TTGAAGATTTATTGAAGATAATTTGAAGAATTGAAGACCATTGAAGAATTATTTCAAAAAGCAAGAATTGAGATTGGAGGTTAAATCGCGAAAGATTGAAGACAAGCCCTGAAGAAGCCCGGAAGGTTTGAAATTTTGGATATTTTATATGGGATAATACTCAGCCCATATAAGCCCACAATTGGAGTTAAAATCCCAATTTGTGCCCCATATGTCCAAGGAAATATCCAAATCCCGCAATTTCCCGCAACTAGTCCTATTTGGAATAGGATTCAGCGCAATCTCGGTAAAAAGGTCATAACTTTATGCTCAGATGTCTGTTTTAGACCTGTGAGTAGCCGTTGGAAAGCTAATTCCGAGATCTACAACTTTCCTTAAAGACCGAAGCCCAGTTCTGCCATCTTCAAGCCCGAAATATCTGTCAAACTTTCTGCACGATTCCAAAATTTTTCAGGATCCTGTTTTCACTTGGATTTTGCTCTAGGAAGACTTTTAATCCAACTTGGAGATCAAGTTAGAGCCTAGAACGTCCTAGAGTCCTATCCTAAGTATAATAGGAGTCTTTAGGTTATTTTTCCACTATAAATACCCACCTTATGTAGCCTTAGAAAACAATCTCTCATAATTCTCTTCTTATACCTTTCTTTAGTTTTGTTTTTCTCTAGTTTTAGGTTAAGGGTGCCGCACCCTCTCTTTGCATAGAGAGGGGCGGCAACCCTAAGTTATTCAAGAGGAGATTCCGCCCCTTTAAACTCTTGTAAGTTTTCTTATGCCCCTCATGGATTTTCCTAAATCCATGAGTACCTAAATTCTTAATACTTCTTATCCTTTGGTGAATTCAATCAATAGATTATGATGTGATTTCTGTGCTTATAATTTGATGCTTGTTCTTGATAGATAGTAAGTGAGTCTCTATTTTAATCTTATGATCTTGATGATTATTGATGTGGCCAGTATTGACGTAATTGGAGAAATCTACAGTTAGATCAAGCTTAGAACTAACCCTTCAAGTTTGATTATTAGTGACAATTGGATGAGAATTAACCCTTCCGTCCAAGGGACAAGCTTACCACTGACCGAGAAATTGCTTGGTGTCTGGTTTTATTTATTAAGCATGTGTGAAAAATAATTGTTCTTTATGCATTGTTCTTAGGTGATTTTTAAGCCCTAACCAGGAAATCAGTCACCGAAGGAATAATAGGGATATTTTAAGCCCCAAAAGGGAAATCTTATCTAATATACATGTTAGGTTTTCCTAGACCAATATCATCAAGGATAAAATATTGAATTCATCTTTTAAATCAAGGATCCATAGTTAATTTGATTGATTCATGCCATTGGAGAAGAAGTATGCCTTTTAATTATTGTTTTCTTTATTAATTGCTATAGATTTAGATTAAATTTACTTAGTTTTATTTTTAGTTTAATTGTTTTCTTTTTAATTAATCTCTTTTAATCCCCTGTTTTTTTGTTTTTAAAACTGATTTTTAGAAATGATTTATTCTTGGGATAAGTTTATTCCCCTTCTCTGTGGGATTCGACCCCTGCTTGCCCTATCTACTAGTTAGGTTTTGTGGGGATTATTTTTATGATTGTTGACGACCGATCAGTACGGTTTACAAATTCCTTCCATTCCTTGCGGATTTCTGATATCTCTGAATCCTATGTTGTGTCGGCTGCATTTGTTGTGCTGAATTGATAGATATTTGATGTCATGGTGTTGAGTAGCTTCCTTGCTTCTTCAGGGGTTTTAGATGTAAAACTACCTCCACTTGCAAAATCAATATATGTTCGATCTTCATAGAGGAGCCCATCATAAAAATTCTGAATCAAAAGTGCATCACTTATGTTGTGGTAGGGGCAACTTTCGTAGATCTTGTTGTATCTCTCCCAGTATTGGTGCCACTTTTCGCTTGGTAATTGTTGACAACTGTAGATCTTTCTTCTGACATCAGCACGCTTTGCTTCTGGAAAGTACTTGTTCAGAAACGCTGTCTCCAATTCCTTCTAAGAAGTTATGGATTTTGGTGGCAGATTTATGAACCAGCCCTTCGCTTTTTCTTCCAGTGTTAAAGGAAACATTCGAAGCTTTGCTTGCTCTTCAGGCATCCGAGTGATTGTAGCACATTTGATGTAGAAACTTTGTAAGTGTTCATGAGGATTTTCATGAGATTCTCCTTGAAAAATTGGCAACATGCAGATCACTCCTGAATTCAGTTTGTATGACATATCCAAAGCTGGATAATCAATGCAAAGGGACGACACTTCAAAATTGAAATTTAGCTCCCTTAACGTTCGTGATTGCTCCATTGGATCTTTTTCTAGAAAAACAAAAACTTAAAAGAAAAATTAGTAGTAAAGGTTCTTAAACAAAAATAAAAGAAAACAGAAAACAAACGAAAATATTTTTTTTAAGTAAATCGCAATTTTTTTTTCACAAAAACAAATTATTTTTTTTTTAGAAAAAACCCAAAAACAAAAATTCTAGAGAGAATTTAATCTTGGATCTATTCCTTCGATACCTGGACACGGCGCCAAAACTTATGATCGGTCATCAACAATCATAAAAATAATCCCCACAAAAACCTAACTAAGTAGATAGGGCAAGCAGGGGTCGAATCCCACAGAGAAAGAGAATAAACTTATCCCAAGAATAAATCTTTTCTAGATTTTAGTTTTTAAAACATAAAACAGGGGATTAAGAAGATTAATTATAAAGAAAACAATTAAACTAAAAACAAGTAAAGTAAATTAAATCTAACTCTATAGCAAATTATAAAGCAAACAATAATTAAAAGGCATACTTCTTCTCCAATGGTAGAATTTAATCAAATTAACTATGGATCATTGATTAAAAAGATGAATTTAATATTTTGTTATTGATGATAACTAGCCTAGAAAACTAGCATGTATATTAGTTATTATACCGGTCAAGGTTATAACACCCTTTTATCACTCAACGCATCAATTACCCTTCCAAGCTTATTGATTTGTCAAGAAGCAAAGCATTAAGAATAGTTATTTTTCACACATGTTTAACAAGTAAAACCAAACCTGCCCCTGTTGGGAGACTCACCCACCAAAATCAGGTGCGCGACGCGGGTCGGATCCGGATTAGTCAAGGCAAAGCCCTGGATACCGGATGGGATACCAAAAAAAAAAAACAAGTAAAACCAAACAATGAGCAATTTTCACCACCCATCGATATGCTTCTCTCATTGAGTTGCTGTCTGGCATACTCAATTTGCTACCACATAATCAACCTGAGCGTCACCACTAAGTTGATTTAACTATAGATCTATCAAATTATCTCTTTACTGGCCGAATAAATCAATAAGAATAAAGATCATAAAATAAAACAAAGATTAGCATACTATCTATCTAGAACAAATATCAAATTATAACCACATAAATCTCACCATAATCAATTGATTGAATTCACCAAAGTATAAGAAGTATTAAGGATTTAGCTACTCGTGGATTTGGAAAAATCCATGAGAGACATATGAAAACTTACAAGATCTTGAGGCGGAATCTCCTTAACCTTCAACAAGGAGGGTATCGCACCTCTCTATGCAAAGAGAGGTGTCGACACCCTCAACCTAAAACTAGACAAAAAAAACTAGAATATTTTCTAAGAAAAAGATGATAGAGAATTGTGTTCTCTAGGGTTATATAAGGTGGCTATTTATAGTGGAAAAATAACCTAAATACTCCAATCATACTTAGGGTAGGACTCTAGGACGTTTTAGAGGCTGACTTGGTCTCCAAGTTGGTTTAAAAGTCTTCCTAGAGTCAAAATCCAAGTGAAAATAGGATCCTGAAAAATTCTAGAATCGTGCAGAAACTTCCACAGCAATTTCGGGCTTGAAGATGATAGAACTGGGCTTTGGACTTCAAAGGAAAGTTGTAGATGTCAGAATTAGCTTTCCAATGGCTACTCATGGGCCTAAAACGGATATCTGAGCAGAAAGTTATGGCCTTTTACCGAGACTACGCTGAATCCTAATCCAACTAGGACTAGTATTGGGATATTGCGGGATTTGGATATTTCTTTGGATATGTGCGGCACATTGGGATTTTAACTCCAATTGTGGGTTTATATGGGCTGAGTATCATAATATATAAAATATCCAATAATTCCAAGGCTTCCGGGCTTCTCCATAGCTTGTCTTCAATCCTTCGCAATTTAAGTTCAATCCTCAACTCTTGCTTCTTGAAATAATTCTTCAATGGTCTTAAATCTTCAAATTATGTTCAATAAATCTTCAAACACGAACTTCGAATCTTCAAATCTTCACTCCAAATTGCTAAGTCCATATTTGTGTAAAAAGTCATCAGTTTAGCTTCAAAAATAGTTAAAAACAACAAGTTTCCACTTTTCTTCTCTTCAAGACCTAAAAACACAAATACTTGCAAAATAGGGTTAAATTCCACATAAAAATACCAAAAAACATAGGAAAATGATAATAAAAATAGGGTTAATTTTGACTCGATCATCCACCTAATAAAACCTAAACCAAACCATGGAGAGTGTTTCCACTCATTACTTTTCTGGGAATGTAACCAAAGCAAACGCTCTCTAACAGCAAAACACTCGTTGCAACCGCTCAAAAGAACAGAAAAACCAAATAACTTAGTAGGGGAAAAGGTCCATGAACCAAAAGCAAAGAGCAACAACACCAAAAAAACAAAATCAAATAAAGGTGCTAATTAACGGTGCAATTCCAATTTTTTTTTTGGTCAATTCGATGTATTAGTTGGTCTGAGAGATTTTTTTTAAAGATGGATTTTCCTTTCCTTAAAACAGCAAAATAGATCCATTTTCGCCTGAGAATTCCCACCAAAAAAGATTTATTTATTATTCATTATATGGTTGTTATATGGTATGAGACCAAAAAGAGGAAATTGAAAGATAATTATTATATATCAATAGATGAAATTAAGGGTGTGGAAAACAAGACAGGTATTCTTTACAATGACATTGTAGACTAATTGAAAGGGATTTAGCACAGCTTGGTAGCACGTTTCTTTTGGTACAAAATGTTATGGGTTCAAATCCTATCATCCCTACCTATTACTTCTCCTTTGAGCAGTAACGAGGGAGCCATAATAAGGATTTGGACTTTGGAGGAATGGAGATTGTTGAACACGGTTTAAAAGCCCATTAATCTAAAGATGCCCATCAAGATTTAAAACCTATTTAACAGGTATAAATAGTGGCTCATTATCTAATTTCGCTCTACTCTATCTTGATTATTCCTAAGAATATTGAACTCTCTTTTAAACTGTTTGGGGTATTTTATATACACACAATTTAATAAGAAAAAAGTAAAACATAAAATATTTTTAAATACAACTTTGGGTCAGATTTGTGTCTTTTCCCTTTTGATCAAGTTCAGCCCATTCAATAAAGGGTTTCAATGTTTTTATCCTAGCCCATCTAAGTACTGAGCTAGAAATTTTTGCTCAAACCCCTTTCAAATATTTAGCGGGTCCATGAGTTTAACCTTTTAGCTGGGCCATTTAATAGCTCTACTCTTTTTCTTTATTTGTGCAAATATTATTTTTCAAATTTGAAAATTAAACCAAATTAGTTGTATTATGATTTATTTTATTTTTTTGGGCCAGAGTTGTATTATTATGATTTAAGAATTCATTTTGCCAAAACAAATTAATGCGTTAAATTTCGAAAAATAATTTCAACTATTCTAATTTCATTAGAAAAAGAGAAAATTACAAAGATTTTACATTTGGAAGTTTGTACATGTACACTTCTCTTCGTGTTCGCATACAAATTAATCTCAAAGAAAAATGAAACTCCCTCTAAGAAAAATATATTACATAAATTTACTACAATATGTATTTAAAAAATTTACTATAATATATTACATAAACGAAGTTTTCTGTTCTAACTCATAGGAATCGAAATCTTAGATTTGGTTAAGATCAAATTTCTTTCTATAAAATAATTGTACCAGATAAAGGCATTTAAAACCTTTTCTTAAGGGCAAATCTGGTCTTATCCCAAGGACGACATTACATCTTTGGATCTCTTTCGACAGGTCCTCAACACTAATTAAATCAATTGTGATTCAATTTTAAGCCACAGTCACGATTTGGTTGAACGATTCAAGCCTAACAATGACCAGGTTAAGGGGGACCAGATTAGGTTAAGAAATTGAGATTCTATTTTTTGGAGGTCTTTCGAGCTTAGAGCCTTGTGATAAGAATAGGGTTATTAGCTTAGAAAGTATATATATTCATATATTCAATAGTAATTGAAGGAAAAGTAAACATCCCTATCATGTTTTAATTACAATGATATGATATATATGCATTCTCACCCACTAATATCCGGGCTCTTCTCTTTTGCTGCCCTCACCTAATTTTAATGAATGCAACAAAAATTTCGGTGGATCACTCACAATACTATTAATTTATTTATGATATAAACCCCAACTATCACATTAAACTAACAATCGTTCTTACATATATTCGGATTTGGTTCCAATCCATTACACTTCCCATCCATTGCTTTCCAATACAGTCATATGACACCTATTAAAATTATGTTTAATTAAAAGCTCAGTTAACCCTCCCTTCACTCTGTCACATTTCCCCCTTTACTTTGTCTTCTTGCTTGCAATTCAAAGAGAGTGTTGCGACTAAAATTGGAATAGTAACTAGTATAATTTTTTTGTCACTGATTCAAATCTTCAAAGTAATTACTAGTTCACCCACTCCTCTTTCTTTATGATGATCAAAATATGTTGTTGCTTTTCCTTTAGAAGCAATAGATCTTTCTGAGATGAATTTATAGAGTAGTCCTCCATTATATGATTTTATCAATCCAACAAGAAGGGAAAAAGAACTATTGAAATTAAAAATTAAAACTATATCATGAGAAAAAGATTGAATAGAGATTTTAGATTTGTTATGCCATAAAAGAAATCGAGAAGGTTTTAAACGATGAGGGATTTATAGCAAAGAAAATAGAAAAATAAATGAATTACAGAAAACTGGAGAACCCATGTAGAATTTGAGTGCGATGATGGACTGAATTTAGAAGCAGCAATAAAAGAATGGATGGGAGAAAAAGAAACTTGCAGCAGTTTGCAAAATCAAACAAAGGCTGATATATACATGACGATGGGAGGAAGATGGGTAACGGGAGATTAAGGCAAA